ACTGTGTGTGTGTGTGTGTGTGTGTGTGTGTGTGTGAATCTGTAACCTCATAAGATTTCTGTACAGTGAATCAACTGAATCAAATGCAAATGAATCGCATGTAGTTCAGTTTATCGATTCAGGAATCGAATCAGTGATTCATAAGAGCAAAGCTACAGTGAGGATGTAACTATAAAACGATTAATGTGGTGGAAAGTTTGTTTTGTAAATACTTGACAGAATTACAAAACAGAACACACACACACACACTCTCTCTCTTTCTCTCTCACACTCTCCCACACACACACACACACACACACACTCTCTCTCTCACACACTCTCTCACACACACACACACACACACACACTCTCTCACACACACACACACTCTCTCACACACACACACACACTCACACACACTCTCTCACACACACACACTCTCACACACACTCTCTCTCACACCTCTCACACACACACACACACCTCTCTCTCACACACACACACACACACTCTCACACACACACACACACACACTCTCACACACACTATCACACACTATCACACACACACACTCTCACACTCTCTAACACACCCCTCTCTCACACACACAACACCTCTCACACACACACACACACTCACACACACTCCCTCTCACACACACACACTCTCACACACACTCTCTCACACACACCACACACACACACACACCCTCCCCCCCACACACACACCACACACACACTCTCACACACACACACACACACACACACATACCACATATACACACACACACAGACTTGTTGTGACATGCGTTCACACACCGCTGCTCTGTCAAATTGATTGGGAAATTTCCAAGTTTCCATGATACTTACGCTGTATTGTTTTAACACTGTATGTGTGTGTGTGTGTGTGTAGGTGATTATTATTGTCCGACTTCCGAACAGGAAGTGGCTGAAAAAAAGGCTGTGACCTTGTTTTAAAATCTTATAATGGTTCACAGATGGCAGGCTGATATATAAAAAAAAGAGAGACTGCATGCTAACAAGTTTGGTGAGTGTGTGTGTGTGTGTGTGTGTGATCCATCCAAAACATTTCGTGAAAGCCAGTCGCTTCAGTTTATTGGCTTTAATGAAAGAATGTAAATGAAGAAAGAAAGCGAGCTGACACACACCCATAAATTAAGAGAAATGAAACTAATCATTGTATACGGAGGACTGGCTGGTCTGCCTGCCTGCCTGTCC